AATACTTTCCACATTGAAAAGTAAACAATTATAATTGATAGAATAAAAGGTGTATTCTAGACAAATAGCAAAAAAATTATTCCGCATTTGTCAAATTCTACGCAAAGTTTTGACGTCACAACAATGCTATAACTTTTGTTTGTTCAGTTTTTACATTGGATTTGACATGTAACAGGGGATCTCGCAGTCAACCAAGAACAGTCTTTTGACAATGTCCAACCCCCTTGGAATTTCTTCCAAGAGAACATAACATGCTATGGGTGACTGATTACTTTACTCCCATACAACACATGTCAGTGTGTATATTAGCAGGGCTGGAGAATAACATTTTTCTTGGGATCCTAAGTGGGCTATCAATTTCAAAGGTCTCAATATAGTCGGTCAGTGGTTTGGTACTAGAACACGATTGGGAATACATGTACAAGAACGCGATACATGGAAATAACCAACTCACTTTGTATATAACAAACCAATGGAGAAATATTTAAAATTTTTTAAAAATTTCTAATAGTCCAGTTGGGCTCGCTACTACATGTACTTTTGGAAAATGGTTGTCTTGGCACAAACACTGGTAGTCTGTGTGCTTTGGGCTACGATTAATTTTGAGCCTTGATACAGTATACATGTAAACTTTATTTCTAGGCTACATGTATCGTCAGAATATACACCTACTTACAATACATACAGTTGTACCAATGCAAGGAGATAGTTAGATTTGAGAGTTTTTCTAAATGAACAAAAAAGTAATTGAAAACACTTAAACAGTCAGTACAATACTGTGATTTTATAACTACTACTACTGGTATGTCAGACAAGTGCTCTCACTGAACAATGAAATTTATTTTTTGTCAAAACAATCTTTGGTGAATACAATATATAATACATACAAGTATATAACACTACTGTATAAAGAAACTTGCTATACACTGTATCTGATAAAAAGCCTGCCAGGAATATTGGGAAAAATGTTAACTTCACATTGAGTATTGAAATACAACACTGTCAGATAATTTCTCGTAATCTGGGCTTCCTACTAAGGCAAATGTTTTAGTTATGTTTTTTTGTGTGCAAAAGTCAATTACCAACTCAACTCAGTCACAGGGCGAGAATATATCGTATCGTATCAAATACAAACTATTATCCAAGGCAAATATCTTAAATCCATTGTGACATCATACATGTATGAACTGCCACATACTCTCAGGTCATTAGTGAGCAGTCAAGATACCATTGTACTATAAAGGAAACGTATGGCCGACTGACATTTTTGATTACTGCTCTGATTTCATGGAACGATCTTCCTCAGTCATTACGTTCATGCTCATCAACAGCTACTTTTAAAAGTCATTTGAAAACATTCCTTTATAACCAATGTTATTAATGCAATCTTACTATCATTTTAACTTACAAAATTCTTTTTTAATCCCATTGTTATTTTATTGTCATTTCACAATCCCTTTTCTATTGCCATTTCAACTTTGTAAAGTGCTCTGAGACGCAGTGTAGTGTAGTGCGCTATATAAATAATATTGATAATAAGCCAATAAAAAATTACAAATATTTCAGATTCATGTACAACACTGCAAATTTCAATTTTTGCTAACTTCTACAAAATATTTACAGTACAGTCCAGTGCAACTTAACTTCCAAGCTGTCTATATTATTTTTGGTGACATATGTATGGTACTAATATGAAACATACTTAATTAGGTACTTAAACATACTTAAACTGGCTTAAAGCTATACTCGCTAAATGTTAAGTAAAACTCTTAAGTACTGTAGCATATATACATTCAAGGCAGTCTGCTGATAGTCTCTCAGGAACCGAGTTAATTATAATAAGTCACTACATATTGTTCAACCTATCCAGAATACACAATATGCAAATAGACTTAGTGTTTCTTTTTATTTGAAAAGCATATGGCTTTACTATGATATTACAAAGTAGGATATGCACCTTTACTATGAATACAGATCAAGTACATGTACAAAATATACATATAGTATATGTATAAACTCAGACATGTATACATGTATTTGCATTTCATACAAGTAAATGTAACAGGTACATGTAACTACATAATATATGTATTCAATGTATATATAGGATTAGGATATCTGCCTTCTGAAAGATAGATCTTTTTCAATATTATGACATTATATGTATCTAGGGTAGAATGCAGCTCATTTGAAAAGTGATATGCCTCAATATGGGCAAATAATCGAGAAACTGATCTGAATTTAGATGATATTGCTTGTAATCAATATATTTTTTAGTTTGCAAGTTTACCGACACTAATAATTTTACGATCAAAAATTTCAATTTGACAAAAACAGAAATAAAACAAAGGGAAATACAACAGCAATTATGATCATATTCTAAGCTATAGGGTGTAGTTACTCTGTAGAAATTGCTTGATCTAAACATTACATAAACACTGCTTAAGTCCATATGAAACATGGTGAGAGATTGATGCATATTGACTGTCTAATTTTATAGATGGCTTTTAATTTGTATAATTTTGAAAAAAAAAATGTAAAATATAGATGGTTTTATATGGCTTGGCTTCTGCTAAAAATAAAAATAGTTTTAGCCACATTGGCAAATAGTACTAACCATTGTTTTTATTGGTCAATTTAAAATAGGATTTGCTACTTTGCGAATAGGCATAAATAAAAACGATGAATACAGCAGAAATTGAAATGTGCTACTGCAACATACACCTTATATCAAGCAATATTTTTTCTTGACGATAAATTTACATGTATGTGGGTGATTACATGAATTTAAATGATGACAATTTTTGCAGAATAATTCATTGTTCAAAATTACTTTTTAATGACACAATTTATAGTAGTCAAATGTAAATGCAATTAGCCACTGGTAACTGATGAAGGGTTAGTGGAGGCCCAGTATGATCATACTGTTTTAAAAAGTTTATGACTATACGAGTAGCGCTTCATGGAAGAATAATGGAAATAACAACTGCAGCTTGAAGTCCTACTCAGTATATTACTCAGAATCTTAATAAAAACTCTGATATTGACATGAGCAGGCAACACTCAGTACATATTGGTTGGAACACTCGCAACCCAGTCTACTGTCTGTAAAATTACAAATTACTATATTTTCATCTCAGCACTGATACTATTATTGAGATAATACTGAGGATTTACAAAATCTTATAATAACCGCAAATAAGCCTCAAACATTTGGTGGGCTAAATTCAAAGCCAACATTCACAACTTGAACTTTGCAGGCAATTGCTTTTATGTCTAATGAACTCACCCTTCAAAACGATATGCTAAAGACCATTTTATAATTTCTGACCTTGGAAATAGGTGCCCTCTCAACTCTGTTCAAGCCCAGCAAATTATTACCAGGTATTATTATTCTATTTTAAGCGTCTCTAATTTAGGTATTTGGCGAATGAAACGCCTTTATTTGGTTCGAAAATATATCCTAAACAGTTGCTGAGTGCAAAATAAAATTGTTGGTGATTCCACCTGATACCGTACAAAAAATGCTCAAAATTTTGATGCAAATTACATAGGCTTTAATGTTGTTGACAATGAAAAGTACA